ACACTCTCCAACTTTGCCAAAGGACCTTTGGAAACAAGTCCCCTTTATCCCTGTCCGATATATCTCATCTCTGTGGTTGTCAAAATTATGGTCCCTTTTTGGGTCCTTCTTATAACACGGCACCTATTATTTAGGGTTCCCCAAAAAGGACCATAATTTTGACAACTACCCATCTGAATGCCTCGTCTCTTTCTCCTTGGCCTTGCGGCCGTTCACCTCGGGCAGGCGGACCTGGGAGTGTCTTCGCTTTGTCGATTACTTCCCAGAGAGCCCATTACCCCGTAAATAAGGAATATACCTTAAATTAGAGGGCCTCAATATTATGATTTAAGCTGTATTCCTCAATTGAGGGGTCTTGGGCTCTCTGGGTTGTTCTATGATCAGGAATTTAGGGATTTAACCAATTTAACCAATGCTCCAACATCTTGCCCGACTCTTCGCAGTTCATGGTGAAGGTACTGAAGCGGCTAAAATGGCAGAAGTAACAAACCGCACCGAGGGCTTAAACTCAATGCACTCAATGCTGAAGAGGGCTACGGGCCGTTTAGGGTTTAGGGTGCCTGCTTTGGGTCCGGCGCAGAGGGCAGGCCCCAATAACCCGAAACCCCTAATTACAGTGCTGCCTCGGGGCGTTGCTCTGCGTCCCCCGTCCCCGCTTCTCTACCACGGGACGCGCTCCGCGCTGAAGGGCGTCCACGATGGCCTGCACTCGCTTCCAAAGAGCTCCACGGAGGGTTCTAGGGGCTTAGAGGTTTAGGGTTTAGGGTTTGGGTTGGCCGACGAGGTTTGCATGGGTCCTTGGGACGTACAAGTTCACTAGATTACGAGGGTGAGGCTTAGATCGATGCTACCAGGACCATGATGTTGGCATTCATGAGAAGGTTGATTTATTCTAATATACATGTTACATACGGCACTACAAAAATCTACCAACCGAGACCCAACATGACTTTGTGAAACTCTGGATACGGGCCCAGTACTCATACTGCACGCGGTCGAAGGCCACCCAGAGCCATGGAACCGGCCTGTTCTCTGAGTCCGACAGGTCGCCAAAACGCAGGAGCAATCTCTAGCCGATGTTCTTCCACCACCAAGGGGGCAACTTCTTCCAAGACTGTTGTCTTGCTAAAGAGAAATTTAATCTAAGCTACCATATAAGGGAACCAAATTGCGGTACTTACTGCTCAGAGATACCTATTCTGCTAGCTTAAAAGAGTTTCCCTAAACCCCCAAACCCTGAACCCTAAACCCCATAAGCCCCAAACCCTAAACCTCCTGGACCCCCCAACTACCCTCTAATATATCCCTAAATACCCACGATTAAGGACCATAAGGGCTCCATTAAAGGGCCCTTGGGGGTCCTGGCTTAAACTAAAAGTCCTAACACGAACCCCTAAACCCTAAACCTTCAACTAAGCTTCCTAACAAGAGCCCTAAACCCTAAACCCTAAAACTAAGTTCCTCAACCCCTAAACCGTAAAAGTTTCCTAACACGAACCCCCCGTCTCCGATCTCTTTTTGCCCTCTCTTTGGCCTCTCGGCCTCGGTCGTGCTCTGCAGCTTCGGTGGGTCGTGGACCCAGAGACTCCCAAAAGCCCTTCACGGTTTAGGGTTTAGGGTTTAGGGTTTAGGGTTTAGGGTTTAGGAATATATACCTTAACCGGTTTAGGGTTTAGGGTTTTAGGGTTTAAATTTTAGGGCTTATACCTTAAAAGGGCTCCTTAAGGAATATGTACCTTAAAAAGGGCTCCTTCAAGGGATTTAAGGGATTTAGGGCTTCGGATTTTGGCGGGAATGAAGGAATATTTTCTTTAAACCCCAAATAACCCAGAGAGCCCAAGACCCTGTTTAAATTAAGGGTTTAGGGTTTATAGGGTTTAGGGGTTTAGGGTTTAGGGTTTAGGGCCTTAACTCCGAAGACCCTACCTTTTGAAGGACTTATATATATATATATATATAATCATAATAAGGAACCCTGAAGTGCAGATATACCTTAAGTCATAGTAACGATCCCCTTATTGTTTAGGGTGACGTCCATTTATATGTTCCTTAACTAAGGGATTTTGGAGTCTCTAGGGGGATGCAATCATGTAGCAGTGCTGCAGGCTTGGAAACTGTGTGCAAGGACTTGCTGTTGTCCCCCGAAATGAAGCGCTTGGCGATCGCTTCCCACCTCCTTGACTACATTCTGGTCAATGACGTCCTCGAAGATGAGCTTCAGCCCAAGCTGCCGCCATCCAGCGCAGAAACAAGGTAGGCAATCGCGGGTTGTCTCCAGTGGGTCACGTGATCCGCATGCTCTTTGCGTCTCCTGCAAGGACGGAAGACTTGGTGGCCTCGAGCTCTGCAGCCTCTTTGCCAGTCATGGCTTCTGGAAGACGCCTCTCCAGAGATGTGTGGCCCGAAACTTTGCAAAGAATTGCCACCACAGCTTCGCCAATCCGCACGTCAAGAGATGAATGGCGAATCTCATGAATGATCGCTCTTGCCTTGCAGCTCATACAGCCACACTCGCGTGCCCTCCACTCCCGTCCACGTCATTTCGGCAAAGACGGAGCCCCGGTAACCTCGGCTGTCTGAATCTGAGGCAGGGCTATGCTCAGGGTTTAGGGCTTATAGGGTTTATAATTGTAGGGTTTAGGGTTTAGGCAGCTTCGGAACATCGCATGCTATCGAAAGAGCCTTATAGGGTAAGGATCCTACTGTTTGGGGTGTACCTATAGTCTCCATTGTACTTCCTTTCTTGGGTTGCCTGCTAGGATCCTATAGAACTGGTTGTACCAAAACAACTTGCAACAAGGAACTACATTGGAGACTACAGGTATACCCCAAACCCTAAACCCGTATATTAAAGGTTGTTCTGTAAACCCTCTGAAAAATATCTATATAAAGGGTCCCGTATAAACCCAAACAAGGAAAATTGAAAATATCCCAAAAACCAACCTAGTATTGCTTGTTCGACCTAAACCCTAAACCCTAAACCCTAAACCCTAAACCCTAAACCCTAAACCCTAAACCCTAAACCCTATCGAAGTGGTAAGAGTCGAAGGGCGAAGGCCCGCAGCCCGGCTCTGCGGCAGAGCCGTCAGCGTCGCAGCGCAACGTAAGGCCGACGCCTGAGGCGAAAAGGGGAAAATAGGGTTTAGGGTTTAGGGTTTAGGGTTCCCAAAGGGTCGAAGTACCCATATAGTAGATATTTTGGGCCCCAAAGTATCTAGCATATTAGTACTTAGACCCTTTGGGGTTTAAGGTTTAGGGTTCCTTTCAAAAACCTACCCCTTTTTGGGGGTACCTCGTTTGTGGTTAGGAGCTGTTATGAGTTGTGCAAAAGAGAAGTAGCTAGGTAAGTAGGGAGGCAAAAAAAGGGGTAGGTTAATGACCCTCTAGGAAGGGTTCCATTAAGGGTTGCTGGGTGGTTAAAAAAGGGCCTTAACCATCACGTTTCAAAAAAGGGTCTGATCGTGATTCTATTTATAGGATTGTTCCGGGGGTTTGTCGTATGGCTCAATACACCGGCCTTACAACGTAGACTAGGATTTCTTGAGGGCTACTGTAAGGGCTAAGCCCCTAAACCCTAAGCCCTAAACCTCTTACAAGGTTCAGAATAGGGGCCTTCATAAGCAGAAGATAATGTTTTAGGGCATATTCTATTCCGATGACAGCACGGCATGGTATTGGTTTCTGTCGGCGCCTTCTTATGATATCTATCGGTTCGCGAATGCAAGGTTTTGTACCTTCAGGGTTTAGGGTTGTAGACAGCTTATAGAGATAAACCCTAAACCCTAAACCCTAAACCTTAAACCCTACACCCTAAACCCTAAACCCAAAGCCCTAAACCCTAAACCCTAAACCCTATACCCGAAACCCTAAACCCTGGTGCATTTTAACATTCAAGGTAGTGGAGCATCCTGAAGCTTCATTAAACCCCAAAAGCCAAAGGCCCTACATCCTAGGAAGATACTTAGGGTTTAGGGTTTAGGGTTTAGGGTTTAGGGTTTAGAGTTTAGGGTTTAGGGTTTAGGGTTTAGGGTTTAGGGGTTATCCCAAACCCAAAAGCTCCTTTAAACTACGTAAAGGTCCCGAAGGCCTACAGACCTCCGCACGACGCCCCCACTTTTACAAGGCCCTAAACCCTAAACCCTAAACCGGCGTTAAAGGTTGTGTTGTAGATTCGGGGTCCCAATTTAAGTCGGAGGTGAGTCGGAGGAGAAGTCTCCCTTGTGGGGTTTAGGGTTTAGGGACTTTGCTCCCCTGTTTTTCGTCTGCAATGGGTTTAAGGCCTTTCAGCGGTCTAGGCCTCGGGCTTAAAACTGATCTATTGGATTTTCGAACCCTAAACCCTAAACCCTAAACCCTAAACCCTAAACCCTAAACCGATAAGGCTCTCTTGTCTGAGCTCTGCTTGCAGGTTCATCGGTAGTTAGAAATGAACTGTAACTTGGAAGTCGGGAAACTACTGTTGATGATATAAATCCTGCATTACCTTAAGGACCCTGAACTATGGGGATTATGGTATATTCCGTATTATGGGTAATGCAGGATTTATACCATCAACCGTATGAATATATCCCATATTATTCGGAGACTTATAACCCCACCTATCACCCTTAGGGTCCATGCACCCATAGAGCTTTTACTTTGGCCCCAAAGTAATTCCATAGGGACTACTTTAAGGCCAAAGTACATACTGTTTAGGTACATGGACCCTAGGGAAAAGTACGCATGAACCTGTAAGTAGAACCCACCAGTGCACGTACCCTGAACCCTGAGTCTAACATTCCCTCGAAGAACTCTCCGGCTGGTTTAGGGCTTACTCGGTCATTGAACCTACAGACCATCAACCTCAAAACCAAGAAATAATTCAAGCAATAGAGAGCGAAGCTCTATTTTCATACAATGGTACTGCTGCCCGAATGGGCTTTTAACGGTCGGAGGGCACAGGTCTGTAGGCTTAAACGATTGTGAGCTTAGGGTCTACGAGTCTATAGGGTTGGGGGGTTTAGGATGTACTTTAGGGTTTATCTAGGATTTAGGATTTGGGGGTTCACTCTAAACCCTAAACCCTACAATAAGCCCTAAGCCAGGCTACGGGGGCTAAAGCTTTAGAGTTTATAGGGTTTCAGGTGTAGGGCCACAGGCAGCCAAAGTACCAGCAGCTTCTCACCGAAGCAGAGCGAGGAAACAAAGATGTGGGTTGCCTGGCGCACGCGCATGATGTAGAGGCTTACATGGGTTTAGGCTAAACCCTAAACCCTAAACCCTAAACCCTAAACCCTAAACCCTAAATCCTAAACCCTAAACCCTAAACCCAAAACCCTAAACCGTGGGTTGAGGATTTAGGGTTTGGGGCTCTAGGGTTCTAGGGTTTAGGGTCCTTCTTCGCTGATCAACTCCCATAATAAGACGGAGTATAGGGGTCTACATCCTAGACTCCAAAACCCTGAACCCATACGAATAGGGAGTATAGGAGTCTACATCCTACTGGTAGGGCCCTAAACCCTAAACCCATATGAATAAGGAGTATAGGCAGTATAGGGGTCTACGTCCTAGGAGCCTAAACCCTAAACCCTAAACTCATATGAATAAGGAGTATAGGGGTCTACGTCGTAGATCCCTAAACCCTTGCCCACCATACTAGAAGTATACTGAGGAACCCCCAAAATAGTATAGGTAATTATTTAGGCCCCTATCTTATACATGATACCGATATTCAGATGCTCAGAAGCTGCACACAAACTGTGTCGAACCTACCCTCCCAGCTACCAAACGTCCGACTACTCCGCCTTGAGGAAGACACCTTCGAAACCCTACTCTGTTTTAATCCCAAGACCTAGCCCTGTGAACCCTCCTAACTTCTAAGCTTCGTCCCCTAGTCTTTTTTTGTGGGGTTCGGTCTTTTTCAAAGTTCCCTAAACCCTAAACCCTAAACCCTAAACCCTAAACCCTAAACCCTAAACCCTAAACCCTAGTTGCCATAAAGTGGGGATCTAAGCTTGCGGCTGAGGGTGTGCCTTGTCGCTACGAGTATCGTGCCTGCGAAATGTCGGCATCCAGCAGATCACCCTGGATGAGCTCCACTTCCTTCGCACAAAACTTCTTCGGGTTTGGGTTTAGGGTTTAAGGGTTCAGGGTTCAGGGTTTAAGGGTTTAAGGGTTTAGGGTTTAGGGTTTAAGGGTTTAGGGTTTAGGGTATTCGGGTAGTTCTGTAAATTAAAGTCCCTTTCAGGGTCCGTTTTTTTCCAAAAGTGCTGTACTATTTTGGGGACCGAGGATGGGGTCCTATTTTGGAGAGCTTTCTATAGACAGCTGCATGTTGTCATTAAGGGACACTAGGAGGGACCCCTAGAAGGGACGCCTAATCCTAACACCCTATATAACCCTTATATACCCCTTCTATAGCCTCATAAAGCCCCTATATAACCCTAAGGGTCCCTTTAAGCCTATTAGCCCAGTACCCTGGCCCAAAAAAGTTTAAACTTTTCTTTTGGTAGGGGGTTTAACATACCAAAAAGTTTAAAGTTTACCTACTGGGCTCCTAAGCCTTATATAGCCTCACAAAACCCCTATATAACCCCAAGGGTCCCTTTAAGGGTCCCTCCTTTAGTCCCTTGATGTCACCCGCCAAACCACTACGGCCGTGGCTCCTCCTCGACCGTACCAGACATCACTACTGTTGATGATAGGGGCTTAGGGGTTTAGGGGTTTAGGGGTTTAGGGTTTAGGGTTTAGGGTGATTTACCCAGAGAGCCCAATACCTCTTAATGAAGGAAATAGACCCTAAACTATAGGGGCCTTAATCATTTTATTTTAAGGTATATTCCTTAATTAACTGGTATTGGGCTCTCTGGGTAAACCCTGCATCACCTTAAGGACCCTAACCTCTGGGAATTATGGTATGCTCCTTATCATGGGAAATGCAGGTTTAATACCATCAACCGTATTACATCTTCAAGATACCAATACACTCCGATGCATCTCCTGTTTTTTAACACCCAAGAATCGCAAGCCGAAGCCCTTAAACCCTAAACCCTAAACCCTAATCCCTAATCCCTAATCCCTAAACCCTAAACCCTAAACCCTAAACCCCTAAACCCTAAACCCTCAACCCCCTGGAGAGGTCCTGCTGCACCGCGACCTGGTCCACAGGCTGCTGTAACAAATTGCCTGACCAGAGACGGTCTCGGGCTTCAGCTTTAGGGTTTAGGGTTTAGGGTTTAGGGTTTGGGGTTTAGGGTTTAGGGTTTAGGGTTTAGGGTTTAGTAAAGCGCGGGGGTTTAGGGTTCAAGGGTTCAGGGATTTTGGGGTTTCGGGATTTCAGGGTTTAGCCTGAGGTGCTGAAAGTTTACAGAAGTCTAAACCCTAAACCCTAAACCAAGTGAAGGAGGATTTCTGCGCGTGCCAGAATTCCAGGAGATGCAAAGCTCCGCTTGATCTTGAAGACGATGGGTTTAGGGTTTAGGATTTTGGGTTTAGGGTTTAGGGTCTAGGGTTTTGAGTTTAGGGTTTAGGGTTTAGGGTCTAGGGTTTTGAGTTAGGGTTTAGGGTTTAGTGTTTAGGGTTTAGGGTTTCTGCAGCTTGCTTTCCCTCTATAAATTCGAACGGGTTCCGGGTCTATAAGAGCGATGGGCAAAGCCCAAAGGCTAACCATGCTCCCGCAAATTCCCCAACCCCCTCCCCCAGATGGAAGATGATAAAACTTGTCCACACCCCTATGAGGACCTCGTAAAACCATTATACCACATAAGGCCAGATCGAATTGGTACCCAAAATGGAAAGCCAAAGCCCTGAACCGGACAACCACTACAAAGGACCTACGGAACCGAATCAAACTCTTTGGATGCAAAAACCGTTGACCTACACCCTAAGCCCGAGACCCGTTGCACACCACTGAAAAGGGAAACCCTAAACCCTAGGCTTTAAAACCTAAACCCTAAAACCTAAAACCCTAAACCTTAAAACCTAAACCTTAAAACCTAAACCGTAAAACCTAAACCCTAAACCTTAAAACCTAGACCCTAAACCTTAAAACCTTAACCCTAAAACCCAAAACCCTAAACTGAAAAAAAAATCCGGTGTACCTCTCAGGCTGGCGGCTGCCCCTGAAGCGACGAGCTTCGACCAAGCCTTCGGCGTGTACTGTAGGAGGCTTACCCATAGGCCCAAAAGTAGTTCCTTTTTGGGTTTAGGGTTTCGGGCTTCGGGTTTAGGGTTTAGGGTTCCCCCATAATTAAGGAATATACCTTAAATCATATTAGGGATCCTACTATAATTTAGGATATATTCCGTACTTAAGGGATAATGGAGTCTCTGGGTAGGCTTAAAGTAGTTCCTCTGTGGGGCTCATATATAGAATCCTATAAGGTAACCCCCAAAAAGGAGCTACTATGGGGCCTATGGGTAAAAACTAGAATAGGGGTGCACACTTTAGGGCTTAGGGTTCACAGTTTAGGGTTTAGGGTTTGGGGTTTAGGGTGTAGGGCTTAGGGTTTGGGGATTAGGGTTTAGGGTTTAGGTCCTTGATCCTAGATGTTCTTCTCGAAACCTAATGACATCAATCCCGAAACCCCAAACTCTAAACTCTGAGCCCGAACCCTCAAATCCCGAAACCCCAAACTCTAAACTCTGAGCCCGTACTCTCAAATCCCGAAACCCCAAACTCTAAACTCTGAGCCCGTACCCTCAAATCCCGAAACCCACAGCCCTAAACTCTAGACCCCTAAACCCTAAACCCTAAACCCCAAACCCCAAACCCTAGACCAATCAAGCGGAAGCACTGCACAACCACAGCTTCCGCTAGATCTGCGCAGAAGGCGCAGCACACCAAGCCATAGTCTCCGAAGCGATCCTTCTCGATTCGGTTTTGGGAGCTAGGATTAGGGGGACCCTTGGGGATATAGACCCTCTCAATAAGGTCCCTTTAAAGAGAGCCAAAAGTAGGGTTCAGAAGGGGTACCCTTTAAGGGGTACCCCTAATAATACTACCTAGGTTTAGGGCTTTAGGGGTTTAGAGTTCAGGGCTCTTCGGGTTTAGGCTTTAGGGCTCTTAGGGTTTAGGGTCTAGGGCTTTCGGGTACAGATGCATATTTCTTATCTTTGAGGTTAGATCCTGTCTTCTGAAGTTCTGGGTTTAGGCAAGGTTAAAATCCCACTAGCATGATGGGCCGCCAGCAATGCCACGCACCAACACTGCTACCACCACACGACGACCGCGGCTACGACCGCAACAACGACCTCGACCTCGACCTCGACCTCGACCTCGACCTCGACCGCCACCACGACCGCAGGAACGACAACGACGAAGAAGACACTGAAACGACGATGACGACATCGCCGAAGACAACGACGATACTGAATTACACCCACGAGCAAGCACTCCACCCTCCATCTCCCTATGAAAGAAACTTTTAATTGAAGCAGGCTCCCAGAATCTCTAGATTCCCACGACTGTCTTGGCATTCTAGGGTTTAGGGATTAGCTTATTGGCCCCTAAACCGTGTTAGCCCTAAACCCGGAAAGTCGAAAGCCTAGACCTCTTGAGCCAATCAAGTCCTCGGGCGCAGGCCCCATCTCTCCAAGCGTCCAAAACACTCAAATCCAAAGCCCTAAACCCCATCTTATGAACTGTAACCATTAGAGTTTAAGGGGTTTGGGTTTAGGGCTTTACGAACTTTTCACATAAGGGTTGTTAAGTAACCCTGAAAGGAACCCGTAAAGCAACGCTCCTCTAACCGTACATTCCAAATCCTCAAAACCTCAGAACGGAGGCAGGTGGCTGACACCCACGTGGCGAGAATCCACTGTCCATCACCTTCTTGCTCTGTGGGCTTAGGCCGGTTTAGGGGTTTAGGGTTTAGGGTTTAGGGTTAGGGCACCTGTGATACTAGAACAGGCCACAACGGGCTTATCGGAAGAGCCAACGAGGTACGAGGGCCGCGTGTGTTGATCTTCCCTGCCGGTCTAATGTTGGTTTGGGAGTTCTTGCTTTTCATTTGGGGTTGAGTTCCAAAAGTGCAAAGCTGCTGGGTGCGATTTCAGCCTGGCGCCAGTTCCAATGGTTTTGTGCGGGCTTCAGGGTCTAAACACTACTAAACCCTGAATCCCAGATCCCATCCTAACGGTCTGCACTGCTCCCATCACAATCCCGGACCTTGCATTACGTAAGGTTTTGACTGTTTTAGAGGAATTTTGGGATGTCTTAACAAGACGAGGGCCTGCCAGCCAGTCTGCCACGGCCGTTTCCGATGCGAGACGTAGCTGCGTCGAGTTCATCCTTAGGGCTTACGGTTCAGGATTGCGGGTACAGGGTTTCGGGTTTAGGGTTTAGGGTTTAGGGTTTAGGGTTTAGGGTTTTGAGGATTCAGGACTGTACAGGTTTATAAGGTTCAGGGCTTCGAAAATGTTTAGGGTCTGGGATTTTGGGTCAGGGCTCTCAGTCTCTAGACAGGTTTCTCCAGTTCAAGAAATGTGCTCAGCAAAAGCCTCTATACAATACCCACAGAACGCCTTGTGCGCCGCTTTTCCGATTAGACTACCATCAAAGCTCCATGGCTTGAACCCTGCAAAAGCCACGACCCTCAACCTCAATTTCGATGTTCTTTCGCTGCTGATAGTGTTGCACAGGGTGTTCACGCGTGCTGGCGTTTTTGAAGGTTCTTGGATTCGGGCTTTCTGGCTAAGGATTTGGGATTTCCAATTTGGGAGTCTACCTTGTGCGACCATAATTACATAGACATAGGCTCAAGCGCCCAACTTCAAGACGGATTCCTTTACGGTATGCACACTGCATGCACACCTACGAGGAACACGCTCTAATTTTAATTATATGTGCCCAGCTGGCCGAATCCTGCGCAAAACCCTACTTAACACCAAAAAGCGAAGTAAGGTGCGTGCCTTTACCCTTTACCCTAAGGTAGCAACCTTCCAAACACCCTGCTACAGTTACAATATGCTTTTCCGTAGCAGGACGTGGCGAGTAACATTCGTCGCCAGGGCTATATGAGTATACTCTAATTTCCACACCCCCCCCCCCCCCCCCCACTCCGCCCTTTTCGAATCATCAAGGCGCCCGTATTTCAGCCTTAACAGTAGCCCTTCTCAAACAGACTGAACAAGAAAGCTCTTAACCTAATTCTTCAGGTGCCCATCCCTGGTTAATAAGCCTCCTGTTTGAACCCCTTACTAGATTTCAAGGAGCCCTTTAAAGAACCTGTCTAGAAGCACAACTCTATCCTTTACGGCCCCCATATTTCCCATAGCCGGGTCACTGGTTCGTGCGTTGGCTGAGCTGGCTAACGCGAACCTCGCAGCAAGGTTTGGTGGAAGTGAAACGGAGCCCAAAATCCTAAGGCTTAGGGGTTTCAGATTTAGCAAGAGTTTAGGGTTTAGGAAGGGTTCAGTACGTCAAGGGTTTAGGGCTTAGCAACTTAAGGTTTAGGGTTCAGGGTTTCAGGTGTAGGTCTTAGGGTTTCGGGTTCAGGTTTTAAGATGTACCTCAGCCTACCAAAACGTACTTTTTCTAGGTTCTTAGTATAATTATAAACCCGAATATGGACATGAAAGGGACCCTACAAAAAAGTAGGTTTTGGTAGGTTAAGGTAACGGTGTAGGGAACGCCTGAACTTTGAGGCTCGAGCCCGAGACCTCAAAATCCACAAACCCGAGTTTCAACCCGCGGTCCTCCACTGGTCTAGGGTTTAGGGTCTAGGGT